CCCCAAAACCCCAAAACCCCAAAACCCCTTTTAAATAAAGTTTAATTGATGGAAATTTTACTAAAATTTATCTCTGCTTGCTCTCTTATTTTCGAACAACTTTTCGACTGAGTTAGAAAATCTCTTGTAATATTTCTTTTAGACTCTTCATTTGTTCTCTCCATGTATCCTTAGATTAAGATTTCCTTTACTATGCCTTACACGATCATCATCTTGTTGATAATCTCTTCTTTCTTCAAATTGGAAATATTTTCTTCTTTCATCCCTTAAATTCTTTTGGCGTGGGTCATGGTGCTGGCTATTGTTTGTATTCTCCATTCTTTCATTGCTTCCATCAACCTTATATCGACTATATACAAGGCGCTCCTTATTATTGGTGGCCTTCTTCGCATATTTATTATTGTGTTTATGATGAATTTCTCCCCCTCCTCTACGTTTCAACTCATATGGGCAGTAATACTTTCTGTTTAACTTTTTATGCTTATTATCTCTATTTACATCTTTCCCATGCTCTTTATAATGCAACTGCGGTTCTCTGCTATCTTTCCGGACTCTTTCATGCCTTTTTCGCTCATGTATGAAGGCTCCATTCATCTGATCATCATTTGTATGTTCCTCATATCTATGATCTTTGATTTGATGCTCTTGGTGGTCAGAACCTTTTAGGTCTTCTTTTCTATGTTTATCATATCTCAGATGTTCATGTCTAATTTTCTCACGTCTCAGATGTTCATCTGGCACTCTTTCATATCTCGGTTCTTCATATGAGCATTCCTGATATTTTTGGCAGGGATATCTAGATTCTTCGTTGTATCTATGTCTTTCGTAATTTTCTTGTCTGTACTGGTTTTGCTGCCTTCGTCTTTCATGAAAGTTTTCATTTTCTTCATCTTCATGAGTAAATTTATTTTCTTGTCTTTCTTTCTGCTTTTTAGAAATTTGGGGATTATAGTGGTCTCTATTTTGGTCTCTATAGGATCGTTCTTTGTAGAAGTCTTTAATGTCTGCTTTATAGTCTCTTCTCTCTTCAAAGTGTCTCCTTTGATCTCTTTTAGGATGGTGAGGACCTAATCTTAAATCTGAGTCAAACATTGTCCCATTTCGTCTATGGAAATCTAGGTGTTGAATTCATCTATCGTGAGATTTATTTCTGGGAAAGACTTCATGATGGATTACATGTATTTCATGATAAGGAACAGCGCCATAAGCAAAGAAACTACCTTCTCTAAATTCGTTATGTCTTCTATTTAACTCAAAAGGAGGAGGATGAGGATAATGAGGAGTCATTGGAGGCCTATTAAAATGAGTATCTTTTTCATTCCCTCTATCAGGTTCTCCCAATCGAAGCCTATGATATTGGAAACTTCTCTCTCCTTCAATTCCTTGGTGCTTTGCAAGCTCATGTCTATTACACTCAAAATTGTGGTGACTGCTTTGTCGAAAAGTTGGAGGCTCGTGATTTTGTTTGGCTCTTGGATCCATTCAGTTCTGATGCATTCTTCTCTCATCTTGTTGAGTTTGTTTTTGATAATCTCCGTAGTATTTATCCCCTTTTGTTTGCTGCTTGAATTTCTCTGTTTTATTTCTTTTGAGCTCATGTTCTGCACTGGATGGTCTTTGTCTATCCTCATTCTGGCTACTATGTTCTTCATCTCTATAAAGGAAATCAGTATTTGGTACTTAATACAAATATCTTACTTGTACAGAAGCATTTCACGGGGCAAGTAATATGGGTGATCCATAATCTTAGTAAATTTTATTTCGGTTTATTTTTAAAAAGGGGTTTTGGGGTTTTGGGGTTTTGGGGTTTTGGGGTTTTGGGGTTTTGGGGTTTTGGGGTTTTGGGG